TGCTACACCAGTGGGTCTTTTGGTTTGTGACATTGTGTAGTCTAGCATGTGGTGGAACATACTGGTTCTTCTTCAGGGTAGGCAGGTGGACGCAGTATATTCTCTGAAACACTGATACCCCCATAACCATGTTACACAGAGGTATGACCCAGAATACTACAGTACAGAGTACTAAGAGTGTTGTAGCAGCCACATAGACTGTTTGCTCTTTATCTGTAGCTTTCCATTTAAAATTGCGCTTAGTAAGAACACAGTATCACTAGAAGGAATACGCATTACTCACTCTTACTTCATTCATTACTTTTACATTCTACCATGCCACCTGTGGGCATGTCACATCGCCAGATTCATGGTAATGTTGTTTTGAATTCAGTGATACGCGGGGTTCTCTTCAGTCATGTTACACAGTTTTACTTCAACTTAAAAAATGCACATCTATCGGTGAGCTTCACTTATCCTTGTTCTGTAAATCGTAACAAATGTAATATGATAGTCACTTAGTTCATTCACCCCAAAATAAAAGTGGAGCTTTGTGGTTCAGTAGTTGTTTAATCAAATCATCCTGGATGTTATGATTAAATTCTCCTGCTGCTAGGGTGCTGGTGGACTGATTTTAACTTGCAGATATGGTATTTACAGTGGACCCCCCATTTCCATTCTTGAACATAAAATTTTCCTTAATTTTGTTTTAGTTTCAGTGATCCAAAGTCCATAGTTTCAGTGTTAAATTTCTCCCTTTATGTAAAATTGTCGTCGGTTTAATCCCAAAAGAAGCTTTAAATGGGGGGTTCACTCTGTACTGAAAACAATATGGAGCTGCTTGTGTTCCATCACAATAGTGTGATACTAGGCTTTCTCAACCATCATATTTGCTTTCACAACATTAGTTGCAGGACCTGTGCCATCACAACAATGTGACACATGGATGATAAAGCTTAATTTCCTTTCCATGTGAACATGACCACACCATGGGTTCTGGTAGAACATGGATTCATTTGGCACTTGTTCTTATTTGTAACTGTCTACAAGCATTTATGGGGATTTTATGTTCAGCTGTTCCACTCCCCTTCGTTTCTTTGTTACTTTTCAACTTCATTGTCTTCTTATGAAATATCCTTCAAATGTCCTCTTTCTAGTTCTTTGTAACACCAAGGTAGCAGAGTAACTATGAGTGGGCTCAGTTATTGACCAGAACGAAGAGTCATTTGCCATGCTTCTTTATATCATCTTGCAGTGGACTGGTTAGGTGACATGGTTCTCATCAGTACCTTGACTGTTGTGACTGGCAGCGATTTGTCATTTTGGCACCTAGTAAATGGATGATTGTACAATATTTCTGCCATAAAGTGTATGGATTTTAAATGTTTTATCAGAACATGCTGACCAATGTTTGTGATGTACATATACATCTTGAATGATATCTTTTTTTCCAGATGAACCTACAAAACTGTACCCCTTCTTCTATCGCCCTATGTTCCCTATTTTGGAGGATGGTTGGACATAATTCTGCCCCGAGACAGAATATTCACAATTGGTGACAAGTAAGGCAGATGAATGGAGGATCAGCTACATCAATAAAGACTTCATTGTATGTTGCATATTGACTTTATACATAATTGCATAATAGAATATTATTTTAAATTATGTGAGGGTTGTACGAAAGAAATCTGTTTGCAGTACTGCTATTGAAGATATGCCAGCTGTCGACCATGTGCTGTGTACCAGTATGGGTGTATCAGACCAAACAGGAACTGCATGACATTGCTAAATACAAGCATTCCAGTTGTGGAATCCTTCCAGACAGGACCAATGAGCTGTCATTTATTTCCATCTGTGAACAGGTTTCATTTGAACAGCACTCATGTAGGTATGTTACATTACTGTCATTTTGGAGGAACATCATGCCCTGCTCTTTGGTATTGAATAATAAGCCAAGCAAAGAGCAAGCCAAATGACTTGGAAAGGGCTATTCTTCTCACAATTCTATTTCTATGCTGTGAAAGATAACCCATGAAGGCAGATCAGTCCACATCCTGATGAGGCTCTCAGGTTTTCCTTTCCTTCATTTTTGCTATCTACCATTTTTGTGTACCCTCTACACCATGCTGTATTCATCTCTTTCATCTTCCTCAGTGGCCCCCTTTGCATGCTGAACACCTGCTACATTGTTCACCAAGTTACACATCACTGTCATTCTGTGTTATGGTGTTGGTCATGGGCTAATTTGAGGTAGATACTATCTGAGATTTCCATGAATGGACTGGGAAAAACCATGACAATCATTACTTAGAATAGCTGAACTCCAGGCCAGGATTTGAGCCTGGGGCTCAATTGATGATGTATTATCTTGGAAACAGCATATTGACCTAGTGATCAGTAGATTATCCTCTGCATGCTATGCATTGTGAAATATAAAACATATTGTATCATTTGCAATGTTAAGGCCAATCTACTTTGCTTACGTACACTTCATCATGAGTTACGGTATGATCTCCTGGGGTGGCTCCTCACATGCCAGGAAAGTGTTTATCTTGCAAAAGAAAATCATTAGAATTGTAAGGAACACTAAACCTAGAGATTCTTATAGGGATATTTTCAAGAAATTGGAAATCATGACGTTATATTCTCATTATATATACTCACTACTTTTATACATAATTAATAATAAACATTTATTTAATTTTAATAACGAGATTCATGAATATACAACTAGATCCCAAAGTAATTTACATGTACCTAGTGTGAATGCTTCAAAATTCAGTAAAGCGCCTATATAACAGGTATTAAAGTGTTCAGTCATCTTCCATGATAAATAAAGATTTTGGTCAATGATGGGAAAAGCTTTAAATTTACATTAAAGAGGTTTTATGTTGTCATTCTTTTTACTCTATAAACGAATACTTTCAATATAAGGAAAACAAAGGTTTGTAATCCAGATATTCTCTTGAATTGTTTGTTAGGTTGATTTTACACATGATGTATTACCCACTGACTAGTCGCTTGGCATTTAAGGGTAAAAATTTTATGGTAGTATGGTATTGTAATAGACCACCTGTTTTAAATAACATATGACTGTATACAATTAAGATGGCCATGAATGGTTTACTCACAGCTAATTTCCTTTTATCCTTTAGAGGAATATGTTAATAAATAGTTTTCAAATTTTAAGGTTCTTGCTAAGAAATGACTGATTGCATATACTGAATTTTTATTGTATATTCTAATTTTTAAATCCTGATGAAATGTACTATATTTGGACTGTTAAATTAAGTATTTGTAGTTATGTGATCGAAATAATTGCATCCAACTTCTATATTATGAATAGGTCTGTTGTATTAATTTATGATGGTGACAATGATAATCATATATCTGCATAAATTTGATCATATTTGAATATTTTATGTACAAATTTTGTATTGTGACTGTATTGCATGCTGATGGGTTCATTGTTTTTATGTATGTGTTTATGTATTTTGACATGTTCTATATCCTATGGCATGTGTGACTTGAAAAGGATCTATGGAATTTAAAATAAAGTGAAAGTGAAAGTGAAAGGCCTCCTGAATATGAAGTAGGAGTACCACCCATTCATCTATCACATTTGGTTAACACAGTATTGTTGAATAACCTACAAACAGTCACTGGAAATAGTGCTCTGGGGCCAGATCTGCATCTGGGCTGCTGACTCATTGTTGCTGATGTATTTATTGCACTGTACAGATCTAGTAGGCAGTAGCACCATCAGCTTTGCTATGTGGAATTGAATTCTGGGCAAATAAAGCAAGGGTCATAAGTAGAATACACTCAATAGCAATGAGATACTTGAGAACAATCAAAGGCTGCACTAGACTAGACTGTATTAAGAATGAAGATATCAGAAAATATTTGAAATTTCAATCAGCAGAGACAAAAGGATGAATACAGATGAAACTGGATATACCATTTGGTTAGAATGACAGATGAAAGAATACTGAAACAGATTCTACAGCAGAAAGCCGGGAATGCCAACACCTGTAGAGCATAATAGGGTATCTCAAAGCATTCTACAGGTTAAACATGTGGAATATAGAGAAATAGAATGACCCAGAAGAAGGTGGGGGAGGATTTGTTCTGAGGTGAAGATCATGATATTGAAGATGTAAAGTCAGAACACATTAATTGCATGTACTACAAAGTGAAGAAGGGTCAGTAGCTGATTGTGTGGTGCCAAATGACGAGATGATTGATGAACAGTGAATTAGAAAGGATGTGAAAGGAAGCGTGTACAGCCTGCTTCAGGATATTGTTCCAGCTGTGTACTGTGGACTATTTTATAATGCCATCAGTACCTGAACTACATAGCATCAATGTAAATATTGAACTTGTGATCCAGGATACTGTGTCCTGATGAGAAGCAGCCAGCCCATGACAGGTCCCAGTTCCAAACGCTGCAAGGAAGACGAGAGACTCATCAACTCTGTTCTAGGACCCGGTAAACGTGGCTATATTATTGACACCCGTACACAGACATTGACTCAGACAGCTAAGGTATGCCCCAACCCAGATGTTAAAGTTGAAGTTATGAACCTGGTGTTACCTGAACAAATACCAAACACCATTTTTAGTGTTGCCCCCCATTCCAGTCTTGCCCAACAAAGGCATGCAGCTCTGCTTGCTTGTTTATTGTTCTTCCCATAGTATTTCTCATCCTCTGTTAGGGTTAGTGGTAATGGTTTAAAGGCAACCTGATAATATGATGTCCCATAATTGTTCATTTGAAGAGCAACATTTATTGCTGACAAACTACTGGAGAGAGAGGGTTGGGAAGAACATTAACATTGATGAATGCAGGAGTTTTGTTTAGTGTGACTGGCAGGAGTGCGTATACCAACATGGTGCAGTGATCCAACAGAAAGCAAACTGCATGATTTTACACATGATGCAGCAGAGTTGTGCACTCATGACCTGAGTTCAAGAGTCTGTTCAACACAGCAGGAATGCCAGCAATACACTATACATTCTGACATGGATACCTGCTACATGTGGAGTTTACTGCCAAGCCCCATCATAGAACTACCTGCTAACAATGCCTACTTTGGGGGCAAAGGTAGTGGCACAGAAATACCTCCAATACTTACATGAAATGACCTTGAAACAGCAGCAGGTATAGGTCATTTCAAAGTTTGTCTCTTCCTCTAAACAGTCTATCACATTTGATGCAATCTATTGACAGAAATACAGGACGTTCAGTCATTGAGGAAACCGGGGGATCAGCGTTAGTTGGATACAACATTTCTCACAGATTGCTGCTGTAACTGCCGATAGCGGAATGAGTCATCAGCTCTGATAAACACGCACACTCTCATGAGCATAGAGTGGATGGATCATTTTGCCGCAACTATTGTGCTTTTTCCCCGCTAGCGAGAGCGCAGTCATGTTGCTGATTCCCTCACATCAGTTTCTGTACATTTTTTGTTATTTTACAATCTACTCAATATACATAAATAGAGTAATCAGTAAAAGGGATGGGTGTGTGTAATATTGAAGCAGGTATCATCCTCCAATGATTCTCTGGTGCTTATCTAATGAGATCCTCTAGCCACATTCTATTTAGTCTTCTTTCTATTGCTGGTTGGTTGAAGAGGTTTCTTATTGGTTGGTTGTTGTTTTGGGTGGTCCGGTTTTTGTGTTTCTCTGCATAAATTCTGATGACTTCTGTCACATATGGTATGCTTAGATCATTGTGTAAGGTAGCGTTTGGTACGTACTAGGGAGCATTAACTAGTAGTTTCTGTACATGCACACATTTATGGGAGTATTGTAAAAAGATAACAAATTTGCTGTGCTTTATAACAGGTGTTGGAAGTGACTCCCTTCTGCTTGCAAACATACCTTGCATTGCATAAATAAATTATAAAACCCTTTCTGAAGTTTGTCCACGGCAATTGAACTAATTACACGTGTAAAATCCTCATGCTGTACAGCAAGTGCCATTACATAGTAAAAAGGTGAGGGTGTGGTGTGCTGTAAGTCTGCACTGAATCATTGGCCCCTTATTTTTCCATGAAACCATGAACTCTGACTGCTTCATTAATTATATACTGAATCCATTCTTCAATCAGCTGACTGCTGAAGAAAGACAGTACGGGAAGTGTTTGAAGACAAAGTAATCAGCAGGGGACTGTGACCTCCCAGATCACCAGATCTCATATTTTGTGATTTTTATCTTTGGGGGAACCTAAAGGGAAAAGTACAAGAATAACCCTCGCAGCACTGAAGCTCTGCAAAATGAAATAACACGCATGATTAGGTCAATTGCCATGGACCAACTTGTGGCATGTTTGCAAGCAGAAGGGGGTCACTTCCAACACCTCTTATAAAGCATGGTAAGTTTGTGTTATCTTTTTACAGTATTCCTATAAATGTGTGCATATACAGAAACTGATGTGAGGGAGTCTGCGACACAACTGCAATCTCGCTAGCAGGGAAGGGAACAGTAGTCATGGAGAAACGATCCATCCGTTCTACGCTAGCAAGAGTGCACACGTTCTGCTATCAACAGTTACAGCAGCAACCTGTGAGAAATATTGTATCCAACCCATGCTGCTTCCCTGGTTTCCTCAACAGTTGAACGCACTGTATTAACACCAAGCAACAGCTGTGTCAATTTAATGTGAATACCAGAAGCCTAGCTCTTTGGTATGTGGCATGCTGTGTTTCACTGGAATTGGCAGGTGAGGCATGCACCGATGACATGTACTGTGGTTGGAAGGAAGTAAGGTGACACAGAGCATCAGTAGTGCCAAATGAAGTATTGTTAAACACTGGTTTTCAGTGAATGCTTATTCTTTTGTTAAATATATTTGCACACAGTGAATTTTGACTCAACAGAAATTACTTGTAATGTGATGAATCCATGCCTGTCTACTCCGTCAGTAATCAAAGTTTCAGCATTACACAAGGAACAGGTGAGAGCTTGTGGCAGTGCTTTTGTGCTGCTGATGCTTCCATTGTATGGCTTTGGAACAGCCTGAACTGCTGCTTTGTGGTGATTGGTCAGTCACAAAGAGCATCCCTGCACTTGGCAACCAATTCTAGTGAAAAGCACTCAAGGAGTTGAGTGGTGAATGTTGATAGATAGTAGGTCCCTTGTCTCAGATTGCAACAATGTAGGTCTTGTACGTCAGCATGGAGTGAAAGAAACAATGTGGTTTACACCACTGCTCTATATGGCCCCATCCATGTACAGAAAAATTTGTCATAGATGCATTGTCATACAAAACAATAACAGTGTGAGGTAGTTTACCTTTCAGTAATATATTTGCGTTTGTGTTCCAAAACGTATAAGGAGTATCAGATTACTGGATGTGTGTAAAGCAGTTTCTGGAGTCTGTGCATAAGAAATTAATTCCAGATTTTAATGAAACTTCATAACCAGTTAAATATGATCATATCTGCCTGTTGTGCATTGTTCTGGGACATAGCTGATAATTTCACTCGAGAATTACGTATATGGACTATGAAAATTAGATAAAACTGATTAATAACAAAATTCAAAGTCTGAAAGTGTTTGGAAATTTATTCTCGTTTGGAAGACGCAGCTAAACAGACTGTGTAAGAGAAGGTGTCTTCATGATATATATCACTGGGTTAGGCATGTTTTACAACTATGAATATATTGTCACGATTTTGAGTGACTCTCGACCGGGTTTTGGATTTGAGATTCCATTTATTGACCACTTTAACACATGACACATGGGTACACTTAATTATAGTGCTGGCAGTGTCTTCACTAGTAGTTGCCTGGTAACAGCTCCAACAATGGCTATTCCTCTGCCTCCGTGCTG